GCAGGTTCACGTCTGTAATCCCAGCACTTTGGGAGGCAGAGGCAGGCGGATCATGAGGTCAGGAGATCGAGACCATTCTGGCTAACACGGTGAAACCCCGTCTCTACTAAAAACACAAAAAGTTAGCGGGGCATGGTGGCACCTGTAATCCCAACTACTCAGGAGGCTGAGGCAGGAGAATTGCTTGAACCCGGGAGGCGGAGGTTTCAGCGAACCAAGATGGTGCCACTGCACTCCAGCCTGGGCGACAAAGTGAGATTCTGTCTCAAAAAAAAAAGACACTCGGCCAGGTGTGGTGGCTCATGCCTGTAATCTCAACACTTTGGAAGGCTGAGGCGAGCGGATCACTTGAGTTCAGGAGTTTGAGACCAGCCTGGCCAACATAGTGAAACCCCGTCTCTACTAAAAGTACAAAACATTAACTGGATGTGGTTCCACATCCCAGCTACTTGGGAGGCTCAGGCATGAAAGTTGCTTTAACCTTGGAGGCGGAGGTTGCAGTGAACCGAGATCATGCCACTGTACTCCAGCCTGTTCGACAGACTGAGACTCTGTCTCAAAAAAAAAAAAAAAAAAAAAATTAACTAAATTAAATTAAGGAATTCAGTGGGTCACGGTGGCTTATGCCTGTAATCCCAGAACTTTGAGAGGCTGAAGTTATCAGAGGCATTTGAACCAGAGCAATTTCATCTTTACTAGGGCCTGGGTAAAATGAGGCTGAGCCCTACTGGGCTACATTCCGAGACAGTTAAGGCATTCTTTTTTTAAAAAAGATGGGGTTTCTCCATGATGGCCAGTCTGATCTTGAACTCCTGACCTCAGGTGATCCACCCACCTCAGCCTCCCAAAGTGCTAGGATTACAGACATGAGCCACCACTCTCAGCTAAGGCATTCTTTTATATCTATATCTATATATCTATATCTTTCATTTTAGGTTCTGGGGTACATGTGAAGAACATGCAGGATTGTTGCATAGGTATATTCATGGCAATGTGGTTTGCTGCCTCCGTCCCCATCACCTATATCCGGCATTTCTCCCCATGTTAGCCCTCCCCAACTCCCTACCCCACGCTGTCCGCCCCCTAGTCCCCCACCACAGACCTCAGTGTGTGATGCTCCCCTCCCTGTGTCCATGTGTTCTCACTGTTCAACACCCACCTATGAGTGAGAACATGCACTGTTTGATTTTCTGTTCTTGTGTCAGTTTGCTGAGAATGATGGTTTCCAGGTTCACCCATGTCCCTACAAAGGACACGAACTCATCATTTTTTGTTTTTAGTTTTTGAGATGGAGTTTCGCTCTTGTCACCCAGGCTGGAGTGCAATGGCATGATCTCGGCTCACCACAACCTCCGCCTCCTGGGTTCAGGCAATTCTCCAGCTTCAGCCTCCTGAGTAGCTGGGATTACAGGCACGCACCACCTTGCCCAGGTAATTTTTTTGTGTTTTTAGTAGAGACGGGGTTTCACCATGTTGACCAGGATGGTCTCGATCTCTTGACCTCGTGATCCACCCACCTCGGCCTCCCAAAGTGCTGGGATTACAGGCGTGAGCCACCGCGCCTGACCATCTCCAGATCGCCATTCTAACTGAGGTGGTATCTCAATGTCAGGTAAGTCATTCTTAGTCACAGGATGAGATAGGAGTTAGGCACCAGATACAGGTCATAAAGATCTTGCTGATAAAGCAGGCTGCAGTAAAGAATCCAGTCAAAACCCACCAAAACCAAGATGGCAACAAGAGTGACCTCTGGTCATCCTCACTGCTACACTCTCATCAGCACCATGACAGTTTAGAAGAACAAAGTCACCCTGTATAGTCTAAAAGGGGAGGCATGAATAATCCACCCCTTGTTTAGCATATAATCAAGAAATAACCATAAAAATGGGCAACCAGCAGCCCTCGGGGCTGCTCTGTCTATGGAGTAGCCTTTCTCTCATTCCTTCACTTTCCCAATAAACTTGCTTTCACTTTACTCTGTGGCCTCACCCTGAATACTTTCTTGTGCAAGATCCAAGAACCCTCTCTTGGGGTCTGCATTGGGACCCCTCTGGTGTAACACCTCTCTGGCAACCACTGAAGGGACTGTCGTGTGGAAACTCCCAACCCAAAGGCTAGTGTTGGGGTCTGGTAAGAATCATATGTGGCCAGGTGCGATGGCTCATGCCTGTGATCACAACACTTTGGGAGGCCGAGGAGGGTGGATCATGAGGTCAGGAGTTCAAGACCAGACTGCCCAACACAGTGAAACTCCGTCTCTACTAAAAAATACAAAAATTAGCTGGGTGTGGTGGCTAGTGCTTGTAATCTACTTGGGAGGCTGAGGCAGGAGAAGTGCTTGAATTGAGACCCAGAAGGCGGAGGTTGCAGTGAGCCGAGATCACGCCACTGTACTCCAGCCTGGGCTACAGAGGGAGACTCTATCTCAAAAAAAAAAAAAAAAAAAAAAAAAAAAAAAAGAATCATATGCAGCATCCAACCGCAGAAAGTGGTTAAAACACTAGAGCAGGCTGGGTGCAGTGGCTCCTGTCCGGTCTCCATATGCAAGCCTGGAGCCTGAAAGTCTGAAGTCCTGCTTGCCTCGGCTGATGTGTCCCACCACCACCACCCCCACCCCGCCTCCCCTCCCCGTCCGCCATTGTCCCTGACAGCTTCTCCAGGCAAGCCCCTCACCCAGCCCTGCCATCTTAACTGTTCTTACAATAATGTGAATACCTCTCACCCAAGCCTGCCGTTGTAACTGAACCTGTGGTCATGTATACTCCTTTGCCCCTACCCCCCACCACCGTAACTGAACTCCTCACTCTGCAACACCCCACCCCCCAAAAAACTACTCAAACCTATAAAACCACTGCCCTTTGCCAACGCCCTTTTCGGCCCTAGCCCACCTGCACCCAGGTGAATAAACAGCCGTGCTGCTCATACAAAGCCCATTTGGAAGGTCACTTCATTCAAAGCATGCGTTTTTCAACATCTCCGCCTGTAATCCCAGAACTTTGGGAGGCCGAGGTGGGCATATCACTTGAGCCCAGGAGTTTGGACCAGCCTGGCTAACATGTTGAAACCTTGTTTCTACTAAAAATGCAAAAAATTAGCCATGTATGGTGGTGAGTCCCTGTAGTCCCAGCTACTTGGGAGCCTGAGGCAAGAGAATGGCTTGAGCCCAGGAGGCAGAGGTTGTAGTGAGCAAGAGCATGCCGCTGCACTCCAGCCTGGGCAATGGGAGTGAAACGCTGTATCAGAAAACAGCAACATCAACAACACTATAGCATGTGGATTTAAAACATGCACCCCATTTCCCAGGAATGAATGTTGCTTTTTTCTGCTATGACAATGAATCATTTCAGCTACCTACTTTTTGTTTTGTTAGTTTCATTGAATTTTGCCCCATGGGGAAGGAAGGGAGAGCAGGATGAGGGGCACAGCTGGGGGTTGGAAACATGGCACTGGCCTGCAGCCCGGGGTAGGTAACTTAGGCAGCTACTCCTGAGGTGGTGATTTCCCTCGGATGTGGGGGAAGGACAGAATCGGACAGTCAGAGGGAAGATCAGATAAGTGAGGCCCTGAAATGATCACGTGCAATGGAAAAGTTCTTTCAAAAACACCTTTTTTTTTTTTTTTAAGTAGCAGTCACGGTTCTGAGGTTTGGTTCCATGCGCCCTCACTGCTTTCCAAGTTCCTGGTTCACACACAGTCCCGTCAGCATGACAAATCCTGTGAGTAATCCTAGTTCCTACTCAGACCTGATCCAAAGAAGTGGGCAGAGACCCAGGGTCCAGCTCCAGAACCAGCTACCTCTGAGCCATTTCTGCTTCCTACAAGGTGAAGCTCCTGGGAGGGAAGGGGCCCAAGGACCTGGAATGATAAAGCTCCCTGGAAAGCCGGCCAGGGCTAGTCTGCAGTCCCTGGGGACTCCGTGAGAGTCTAGACCCGGACAGGCCAGGGGTTGCCAGCTCAGGACAGCTGAGGACCTCAGTGTCCACTGGGAAGAGAAGGGAGGGAAGCATGCGTGCTGCTGGTCTTCCCTTCCATTCATTATCTGGGAATCCATTTCCTGTGGAAAGTGCAGTCAGAGAGGTTCTTCTCCACATCCTCGCAAGTCTTAGTGGCCCCTTCTCTCTGGACTCTCCCAAGATGCAAAGAGTGTTTCTAGAGATTAGTAGGCTCAAGAAGGGAGGGGAGCTAGCAACAAATTTTGAACAATCTTCACAGTTTGGAAGATTTGGGGTAGCTCTCAGGGATGAACTATCCAGCTTCTGTGACAGGTGTGTGAAAGTAGGACTGTGACTGATCTCCAAAAGAGCCCTGAGAACAGGAGATCCCCAGCAGCCAGGAGCTGTGGAAGGTCACCTTGGGGGAGCAGGGGCCCTGCTAACCCAGCATAACATCCATTCCTAAGGTAGTGCCCAGAGCAGAGATTCCCAGAACTTGACATACAGACCACCTCCATCAAAACCACCTGGAGAGCATCGATGTCCAAAGCCTGCCTCCTCTTCACCCTCCACTTAACGAATCAGAGGAGGGTCCCAGAGATCTGCATTTGTCTGTCTCTAAAAGGCAGCCTCCAGTGCTCCTTAGACTTGCTTAGAAAACACTATAAATTCAAAGACTAATAAAACTCTAAATGTCTCAGAATCCCAGGGTAAAGAATCACAAGTTCTCTACCACCCTGCCCCATTTTTAATCACACTCGTCATAGACCACAGAGCACCTGGCAAACCCAGGGAACGGTGGGTTGAAGATATGTTTTCTTCTAGCAGATTAAGAACTGAGCAGCATTTCCTGTGCCCCGCATTTCATTAGCACATTGGTGGTGTCGTTTCCGGTGACTGACTCTCTGTTTCCATTCTGGCACAGTGGTTTGCTCTTTTCACTTTGCTTTGGGTGTTGAAGGAGATGAGCTTCTCACGGAGCCTCTCCTGAGCCTCTTGGCAGTTTCGCCCTCTGTGCCCCTCATGTTTCCACCAGAAGGCAGAGGCCATAGATTCTCCCTGAGCCACCTCACTCGGAGGCACCACGTCCGGACGAGATTAGCCACATCCAGGTAGAACCAAACCTGTTGCTTAGGTATGTTGGGTCAACTCAGCCTGACATTTCAGAGGTAGACACAAGATAGGAAGTTTGTTGGGGGTGGGGGGAGGTGATAGACATGCTGGCTAACTGATTATGATTCAGAGAAACTTAGAAGCTGAAGCCAGAGAGCATCTGAAAGGTTCCTGAGACAATGGATGGTGTCACCACAACCCTTCCGACAATCGGAGGGAGGATCTTGGAGTTCAGCACTCTGCATGTGACTCCCAGCAGCCCGGACAGGTAAGTGACTCAGGGTGGTGAGTTCCACCCTCCCCTGATTTAGGCAGAAGGTCTTAGTCCACCCTTAAGAGCTTCTCACACAGCAGTGCTGCTACCTCTCAGCACCCAGGCTCGGGTCCACTAAGACCACTAAACTCTAGGATTGGAGGCTTTTCCTCAGGGGTGCTAGGGGGAAAGGCAGGTATTGAGGAAAGAAAGAAGATATTGTGGTTGAAGAAAAGCTATGATAACACTGGTCCTTAAAGTTAGTTGCCTGGACTAGTTGGATTTCTCACCTCTCAGAGGCCCTGAACCCTGTTGTCAATCTTTCCTAGATGTCCCCATGACAGAAACAAAAGGCTGAGTTTTCCAAGGATGTGTTTTGAGATCCAAAAACTTGCCACGAATAAAAAATGTAGTAATAGATGTAATAAAGGTATGTCTTTAGGACATAAATTCTTACAGAACTAACTAATTGTGGGTATAAATTATTGCTAATCCTTTCAATCTCATACAAACAAAACTAAAAATCCTTCAGCAGTTGAAACTTTGAAAACATTGATAGCTATAAATTTCAGTATTATAATAAAAATATAACCCAATGACAATTTTTAAATTGCAGTCATTTTGAGGCCGGGTGTAGTGGCTCACACCTGTAATCCCAGTACTTTGGGAGGCCGAGGTGGGCAGATCACCGGAGGTCAGGAGTTTGAGACCAGCCTGGCTGACATGGTGAAACCCCGTCTCTACTGAAAACACAAAAATTAGCCAGACGTGATGGCATGTGCCTATAGTCCCAGATACTTGGGAAGCTGAGGCAGGAGAATCACTTGAACCCTGGAGGCAGAGGTTGCAGTGAGCCGAGATCATGCCATTGCACTCCAGCCTTGGTGACAAGACTAAAACTCTGTCTCAAAAAATAAAATAGGCCGGGTGCGGTGGCTCAAGCTTGTAATCCCAGCACTTTGGGAGGCCGAGGCGGGTGGATCACGAGGTCGAGAGATCGAGACCATCCTGGTCAACATGGTGAAACCCCGTCTCTACTAAAAATACAAAACATTAGCTGGGCATGGTGGCACGTGCCTGTAATCCCAGCTACTCAGGAGGCTGAGGCAGGAGAATTGCCTGAACCCAGGAGGCGGAGGTTGCGGTGAACCGATATTGCGCCACTGCACTCCAGCCTGGGTAACAAGAGCGAAACTCCGTCTCAAAAAAAAAAATAAAATAAAATTGCAGTAGTTTTGGGAAATAAATGTTATTAGCCTAGCAAACACATGTCACTTGCAGGTAGATACAAGCATTGATGAGCAATGAATTCACAAAAATCAGAAGCCTGAAGCGTCCCTCCAAAAGTGTTTCTTTATTTATTTTTATTTATTTCTAATTGGCAAATCAAAATTATATATATTTATCATTATATCCTGTTGTTTTGAAATATGTATACATTGTGCAACAGCTAAATTAAACTAGTGAAGACACACGTTACTTCACAATTTTTTTGTGGTGAGAATACTTAAAATTTCTCAGCAATTTTCAAGAATATGACACTTTTTTTAAGATTCTTTTTTATTTTTATTTAATTAATTAATTTATTTTTTAAGATGGGGTTTCACCATGTTGGTCAGGCTGGTCTTGAACTCCCGACCTTAGGTGATCTGCCCACCTTGGCCTCTAAAGTGCTTGGATTACAGGCGTGAGCCACCATGCCCGGCCAGAATATGACACATTTTTATTAACTATAGTCATCATGTTATACAACAGATCTCTTGAACTTATTATTTCTCTAACTGAAATTCTGTATCCTTTGACCAACATCTCTGCACCCCCTCCCTGGCAGCCACCATTCCACCATTTCTATGAGTTCAGCTTTCCACTCCACATATGAGTGAATCATCTGGTATTTATCTTTTTGTGCCTGGCTTATTTCATTTAACATAATGACCTCTAGGTACATTCATGTTGTCAAAAATGACAGGATTCCCTTCTTTTTTAAAGGCTGATTAGTATTCACATTTTTTTCATCTACTGATGGACATGTAGGTTGATTCCATATTTTGACTATTGTGAATAATGCTGCAATAAGTATGGGAGTGTAGACATGACTTTCAAATACCAATTTCATTTCCTTCGGATATATACCCAGTAGTGAGATTACTGGATCATACGGTAGTGTTTTTTTGTGTGTGTGTGTGGTGGTTGTTATTTTGAGACACATTCTCGCTCTGCTGCCCAGGCTAGAGTGCAATGACACGATCTTGGCTCACTGCAACCTCCACCTCCTGTGTTCAAGCAATTCTCCTGTCTCAGCCTCCTGAGTAGCTGGGATTATGGGCATGTGCCACCATGCCCAGCTAACTTTTTTTTTTGAAATTTTAGTAGAGACGGGGTTTCATCATGTTGGCCAGATTGGTCTTGAACTCTGACCTCAAGTGATCCACTCACCTTGGCCTCCCAAAGTGCTGGAATTACAGGTACGAGCCACTGCACCCAGCTTTGGTAATTCTATTTTTAATTTTCTGAAGAACCTCCATACTTTTTCCAAAATGGCTGTACTACACTCAAAACTATTCCTATATTAATTCTTTTATTAATTCAGTCACTCATTCATTTAACAAATACTCATCAGCGCCCTACTAAGTACGAAGCCCTGTTTAAGGCAATAGTTAAACAGGATAAAGGTGTCCATAACCTCCTGAAGCTTATAGTCAAGTTGGGGAGTCAAATGATAAACAAGGCTGAGCATGGTGGTTTACGCCCATCATCAAAGCACTTTGGGAGGCCGAGGCAGGAGGATCACTTCAGCCCAGCAGTCACCAGTCTGGGCAACACATGGAGACTCTGTCTCAAAGTTTTTTTTCTTTAGTGAAAAAAATGATAAACAGCCAGGTGCGGTGGCTCACGTCTGTAATGCCAGCACTTTTGGAGGCCAAGGTGGGCACATCACCTGAGGTTAGGAGTTCAAGCCTAGTCTGGCTAACATAGCAAAACCCCATTTCTACTAAAAATACAAAAAAGTAGCCAGGCGTGGTGGTGTGTGCCTGTAATCCCAGTTACTTGGGAGGCTGAGGCAGGAGAATCGCTTGAACCAGGGAGGCAGAGGTTTTGCAGTGAGCTGAGATTGCACCATTGCACTCCAGCTTGGGCAATAAGAGGGAAAATCCGTCTCAAAAAAAAAAGAAAAAAGAAAAAAGAAAAAAGATAAACAAGCAAGCAAATGAATGTATGATATCAATCAATCATCAGTGCCATGAAGAAAAAGTGGAGCGCAGCAAGGGGACTGCAAGCAATAGGGTGTGGCCATAGAAGACCCGTCTGAGGAGATGACATTTGACATTTCAGAAGAGACCTGAATGAAATGAGGGACTCAGCCATGCAGACGGCTGGGAGAAAAGGGCTCCTGGGAGAGGGAGTGGCAGCTCTGACACAGAACTGTGCTTTTCCTGGCAGGCAGAGTCAGAGGGAAAGTGGTAGGAAGTAAGGTCAGAGATAGGCAGAGGCCAGATCATATTGTGCCATAAAGTCCTCATTGAGGAAGGACTACGAACTTTATTCTGAGGCACCCGAAGCCAGGGAGAGCGACAGCCAGGGAGAGCGACGAGCAGAGGAGGGATGTGATCTGATTGACTGTTTAGAGTTATCACACTGGCTTTTGTGTAGAAAGTATTACGTAGCCAAGAGTTAAAGAAAGGAGACCCACCAGGAAAGTTCTTGCAAAGGGTCATGTGAAACACACAGTGGCTTACACCCAAGTGGGGACAGCAGAGGAGGAAGAGGTGGCTGGGTTTGGAATAAATGCCTAAGGTAAGGCAGATAGAATCTGCTCGTGGATTGGAAGTAGGGCATGAGCTCCAAGGGTTTTTTTGGGTTTTTGATTTTTTTTTTTTTTTTTTTTTTTTTTTTTTTGAGATGGAGTCTTGCTCTGTTGCCAGGCTGGTGTACAGTCGTGCAACCTCAGCTCACTGCAACCTCTGACTCCCTGGTTCAAGTGATTCTTCTGCCTCAGCCTCCTGAGTAGCTGGGATTACAGGCACACGCCACCTCGCCTAGCTAATTTTTGTATTTTTAGTAGAGATGCAGTTTCACTATGTTCATCAGGCTGGTCTCAAACTCCTGACCTCGTGATCTGCCGACCTCGGCCTCCCAAAGTACTGGGATTACAGGTGTGAGCTGCTGTACCCAACCTGGCTCCAAGGTTTTTGACTAAGCCATTAGATGATGGGAGACATCGGGGGAGTAGCAGGTTTATGTGGGAAGAACAGCAGCTCTGCTTTGGTTTGAGATGTCTGTCAGGCAGCTAGTAGAAATGCCCACTAGAAAGTTGGATAGGCCGGGAATGGTGGCTCAAGCCTGTAATCCCAGCACATTGGGAGGCTGAGGTGGGTAGATCACGAGGTCAGGAGTTCGAGACCAACCTGGCCAACATGGTGAATCCCGTCTCTACTAAAAATACAAAAATTTAGGTTGGGTGTGGTGGCTCATGCCTATACTCCTAGCACTTTGGGAGACTAAGGCAGGCAGATCATACCTGAAGTTGGGAGTTCAAGACCAGCCTGACCAATATGGAGAAACCTTGTCTCTACTAAAAATACAAAAATTAGCTGGGCTTGGTGGCACATGCCTGTAATCCCAGCTACTTGGGAGGCTGAGGCAGGAGAATCTCTTTAACCCAGGAGGCAGAGGTTGCAGTGAGCCAAGATTGCGCCATTGCACTTCAGCCTGGGCGATAAGAGCAAAACTCTGTCTCAAAAAAAAAAAAAAAAAAATTAAAAAATTACCTGGGCATGGTGGCATGCACCTGTAGTCCCAGCTACTCAGGAGGCTGAGGCAGGAGAATCACTTGAACCCGGGAGGCAGAGGTTGCAGTGAGCCAAGGTCACACCACTGCACTCCAGCCCGGGTGACAGAGCGAGATTCTCTCTAAAAAGAAAAGAAAAAAAACTCCACACAACAGCGGAGTGTTGCTTAGACACCAGCTCCACTCCACAAATTGGCGCTGCGGGGGTTATTCAAGTTCATGCAGGTTGGGCTCTGTCACAGAGCCACTCCCTAATTGTAAATTGGCTAATCCTCTCCTCCAAGCAAGCCAGGAAGCTCATGAGTAGGGAACAAGAAGGGGAAAGGCCAGATGCATTTGACTTTGCAGGTTTGGAGGACAGACACTGGGGCAGAGTGAAAAGAGCATGGCCTTTGGACACAAACAGACCTCGAGTCACATTCCTCCTCTGCTCCTTCCTACCTGGGTAATCTCTGACATGTTCCTTTACTCCTCTGAGTCTAAATCTCAGGTTACTTGGCCACAAAGTGAGATAGGATTGCTGTAAAGATTAAGTAAGTCTCACCTGCAAGCCCCTGACACTCAGTAGGCGTTTGAAAGGAATAGTTCCCTTGCCCCCTGTCCAAGTCCCCTCTCTCCATAAAGTCCATATTCAGAGATAACCCTCTTTTCCACCACACCCCACCTCGGCTTTCCCTCACTCAGCTTCCATTCCAAATCTGCAGGCTCTAACTCTTGAAGGAAATGTCTCCTTCAGCCTCCCCACCCTCCTACAGCTGGCACATGGCATGTGATTGATTTTCTAGAAATAAAGACCAGATCAGCAGCATCTTTTCTGGGTTCCTGGGACTCCTCACCATCCTCCTGGTCGTTGCGGTTTTCTGCATCCTGTGGAACTGGAATAAACGGAAGAAGCGTGAGTCCCTTCTTTGTCCTGAGTTGGGACACAGTAGGATTAATAATCTAGCCTGGTAATTAAAGCCCAGCTTATTTTCCAGGAATAAACTGTTGGCCTGGGGAGTCCTTAGTTCTTACCTGAAACACTGGCCATTGTCTCACTCAAGATCCTGAACTGTGGCCCCAAAGGCCTAGCGCTGACAGGGTTCCCCTGGGAAAGACATTCCCCGGGTGGCCCTGTGGCCAGTTTCCTCTTTATGCTCTGCCCATCAAGTCCCCTACTCCTCTCACTCGAATGAAAATTTCTGTAGCTCAAGTTTGCAAGGTTATTTTTGTGAGCACTGACGAGGATGGGGAGCATTTTCAAGGGCCACTTCGTGCCCATGCGTCTCTATACTCTGTGCAGCTGACCCCGCCATGACTCCCATCTCTCTCATTGCTTTGCAGGGCAAGTTCCCTACCTCCGAGTTACCGTCATGCCCTTGCTGACTCTGCCACAAACCAGACAAAGAGCCAAAAATATTTATGACATCTTGCCTTGGGGACAAGAAGAGCTGGGTAGGTTTTTCCTTCTAATCCACGGAGTCCAGATGTTCAAACTTCTGCTCCCAGAATGTGCCTCTTGCGCTCCAGAAGCAACTTCCTCTAAGCTCTCAAACCTGTTTGCCCTTCAGAGAGCATCAGGGAGACTGGGATAGATAGACGGTCAGCTGCAACTCCAGGAGTGCTGGAGGGCTCCAAAAAGGGAGCAGAGGGTCATCTGGGCTGGGAGTTTTTTGTTTTTTTGTGTTTTTTTTTTAAGATGGAGTCAGGCCAGGCGCGGTGGCTCAAGCCTGTAATCCCAGCACTTTGGGAGGCCGAGGCGGGTGGATCACGAGGTCAAGAGATCGAGACCATCCTGGTGAACATGGTGAAACCCCGCCTCTACTAAAAATACAAAAAATCAACTGGGCATGGTGGAGCGTGCCTGTAATCCCAGCTACTCAGGAGGCTGAGGCAGGAGAATTGCCTGAACCCAGGAGGCGGAGGTTGCGGTGAGCCGAGATCGCGCCATTGCACTCCAGCCTGGGTAACAAGAGCGAAACTCCGTCTCAAAAAAAAAAAAAAAAAAGATGGAGTCTTGCATTGTTGCCAGGGCTGGAATCCAACACGATCTCAGCTCATTGCAACCTCCACCTCCCGGGTTCACGTGATTCTCCTGCCTCAGCCTCCCGACTAGCTGGGATGACAGGTGCACGCCACCACACCTGACTAATTTTTTGTATTTTTAGTAGAGATAGGGTTTCAATATGTCGGCCAGACTGGTCTTGAACTTCTGACCTCTTGATCCGTTCACCTCAGCTTCCAAAAGTGCTGGGATTACAGGCATGAGCCACTGTTCCCAGCCTGTTTTTTTTCTTAATGTTAAGGCAACAGAAGAAAGCCAAGTGTGTTCAGGCATGGGGAAGACGAAAAGGAGGAGAACTTTGGTGACAGCATCACAGGCGGAGGATGGGCTGGGGAGGAGCTTCTCCCACAGGGGCTTGTTTCTCAGACTCCCAACCTCTGTGCTAGCGTCCTCCAGTGCCACAGCAGCTGATGGGCTTCCAGTCCTCAGAGTGTCCTCCCCATAGCTCTGACCTCAGAACACCGCAGAACCCCGGACCCAAGGCTCGAGATTCCAGACTCCGTGCAAACTCAGTTCATCCATGAGGCAGGGGTTACTTGGGCTGAAGCACCCAGAGGACTGGCTCTCTTCAGGATTTGTTCTCTGTCCTTTCAGGGAGACATCAGTCAAGGGGTATCCGCATTTTCAGTACCGAGAGCCTCCTCTCCAGAAATTCTGAGAGCCCTGAGCATGTGGTAAGAGTCAAGCTTCCTGGGAGAACGACATGTTTCTGGCAGAAGAACTGAGGGGACAGAGTTATAGGGCTTGGATATGGTTTCACTACAAACAAACAGCGTGCCTTTTGGCACTTGTCCTGAAGTCCTATTAATAAATTGGGGGCCGGGCGCGGTGGCTCAAGCCTGTAATCCCAGCACTTTGGGAGGCCGAGGCGGGTGGATCACGAGGTCAAGAGATCGAGACCATCCTGGTCAACATGGTGAAACCCCGTCTCTACTAAAAATACTAAAAATTAGCTGGGCATGGTGGCGCGTGCCTGTAATCCCAGCTACTCAGGAGGCTGAGGCAGGAGAATTGCCTGAACCCAGGAGGCAGAGGTTGCGGTGAGCCGAGATCGCGCCATTGCACTCCAGCCTGGGTAACAAGAGCGAAACTCCGTCTAAAAAAAAAATAAATAAATTGGGAAGACCAGCCTCAGGACCTCCCTATACCCAAAAGGAAAAATTAGGAACAGAGGCAAGTACCTGTTTTAAAAAGGGTGCCAGGGTACAGATATTCAAGTGCATAATGTCAGAACTGAAATTGACTGGTGTGTGTGTGTGTGTGTGTGTGTGTGTGTGTGTGTGTGTATATATATATATATATTTTTTTTTTTTTTTTTTGAGACCGGGTCTTACTTTGTCACCCAAGCTGGAGTACAGTGGCGTGATCACAACTCACTGCAACCTCTGCTTCCTGGACTCAGGTGGTCCTCCCACCTTAGTCCCCCAAGTAGCTGGGGCCACAGGCACACACCACCACACCTGGCTAACTTTTGTATTTTGTGCAGAGATGGGGTTTTACCATGTTGCTCAGGCTGGTCTCAAACTCCTGAGCTCAAGCAGTCTGTCCACCTTGGCCTCCCAAAGGGAGTTTCAGTACCAAATTGTCTTAAATTCACAAATGTACTTGGCTTGGACTTTAGTGTTTTAAGAATATTTTAGGCCGGGCGCGGTGGCTCAAGCAAGTAATCCCAACACTTTGGGAGGCCGAGGTGGGTGGATCACTTGAGGTCAGGAGTTCAAGACCAGCTTGACCAACATGGAGAAACCTCATCTCTACTAAAAATACAAAAAAGTTAGCTGGGCATGGTGGTGTGTGCCTGTAATTCCAGCTACTTGGGAGGCTGAGGCAGGAGAATTGCTTGAATTTGGGAGGGAGAGGTTGCAGTGAGCTGAGATCACGCCATTGCAGCCTAGACTGGGCAACAAGAGTGAAACTTCATCTCAAAAAAAGAGAATATTTTGAATCAATTGCCAACATTTAAAAATTGAGACCAGGTGCAGTGGCTCATGTCTATAATCCCAGCACTTTGGGAGGCTGAGAGAGGAGCATGGCTTGAGCCCAGGAGTTTGAGACCAGCCTGGACAACATAGCAGGACCTTGTCGCTACTAAAAAAAAAAATTAGCTGAGCCTGGTGGTACACACCTGTAGTCTCAGCTATTTAGGAGGCTGAGGCAAGAGGATCACTCGAGCCCGGGAGATGGATTCTGCAGCCTGGGCAACAAAGAGAGATTCTGTCTCAAAAAAAAATTTTTTTAAATGAAGACATTTTAAGACATCTGAAAGTCCAGATTTCCAGCTTTTCTTGAAAATTCAGAATTTCTGGAAACATCAGACCAGCATTCCTGAATGGCTACAATCAGCTGAGTCTATGTATCACCTGTCCCTCTAATAAAATGGCAAAGATTTTTCCGCCAGGCACAGTGGCTCATGCCTGTAATCTCAGCACTTTGGGAGGCTGAGGTTGGTGGATCAACTGAGGTCAGGTGTTCGAGACCACCCTGCCCAACATGGTGAAATTCCATCTCTACTAAAAATACAAAAATTAGCCGGGCGCGGTGGCTCAAGCCTGTAATCCCAGCACTTTGGGAGGCCGAGGCGGGTGGATCACGAGGTCAAGAGATCGAGACCATCCTGGTCAACATGGTAAAACCCCGTCTCTACTAAAAATACAAAAAATTAGCTGGGCATGGTGGCGCGTGCCTGTAATCCCAGCTACTCAGGAGGCTGAGGCAGGAGAATTGCCTGAACCCAGGAGGCGGAGGTTGCGGTGAGCCGAGATCGCGCCATTGCACTCCAGCCTGGGTAACAAGAGCGAAACTCCGTCTCAAAAAAAAAAAAAAAAAAAATACAAAAATTAGCCGGGCATAGCATTGGACACCTGTAATCCCAGCTACTTGGGAGGCTGAGACAGGAGAATCTCTTGAATCTGGGAGGCGGGAGTTGCAGTGAGCCGAGATCATGCCATTGCACTCTTAAAAATAAAAAGGCAGGCTGGGCGTGGTGGCTCACGCCTGTAATCCAAGCACTTTGGAGGCCAAGGCTGGTGGATCACCTGAGGTCGGGAGTTCAAGACCAGCCTGACCAACATGGTGAAACCCCATCTTTTAAAAAATAAATAAATAAAAATAAATAAAAAATAAAAAAAATAAAAAGGCAAGCAATTTTCAGTGTTTTCTATGTGCCAGGAGCTATTCTAAACCATTTATACATAGTAATCCATTTACTCCTCACAAAATATTATGCTGTGGCCGGGTGCAGTGGCTCACACCTGTAATCTCAGCACTTTGGGAAGCTGAGGCAGGAGAATCACCTGAGGTCAGGAGTTTGAGACCAGCCTGGCCAACATGGTGAAACCTTGTCTTTACTAAAAATACAAAAAAAATTAGCCGGCTGGTGGTAGCAGGCACCTGTAATCCCAGCTACTCAGGAGGCTGAGGCAGGAAAATTAATTGAACATGGGAGGCGGAGGTTGCAGTGAGTTGAGATCGCATCACTGCACTCCAGCCTGGGCGACAAGAGTAAAATTCCTTCTCAAAATTGAAAACCAAAACAAATTTATAATGTACGTATTATGATAATCCTCATTTTATAAACTAGGAAATGAAGACACCGAGAGATTAGGTCAGGTGCTCACACTCACTTGGCTCAAGGTGGGGAGGCTAGGATTTGTGCCTTCAGTCTGAGTCTAAGCCTCACCTTTAGCCACTATGTTGTACAGCCTCTCAATGGGCTCTAGGGTTGATAATACTTTCCTTCCACCCCTCATTGATTCCCATTCTGTGGCCAAAAACCAGTTGCAGCTTATCATCGCATTTGCACTGTTGCTCTTCTTAAACTCATCCCATTTCCCTTATACCTACCTGGCATGTAGAGCCTTGCAGTTTGGGACCCCTGACTTAGGCATTTTCTCCGAGGTGGAGAACCACGTGAACTATGCCAGTGGTATTTGCCAGGAAGAAGAAAGGCTCTGTCCATATTTCTGCTTGCACCTGGTCACTGGTGTCCTCTTCTTCCTCCTAGCCCTCCCAAGCAGGCAATCCCTCCCCGGAAAATAGAGCCCATATCCATGCCATGGAGTACGCAGTGGGTATCTATGACAATGCCCTGGTGCCCCGGATGTGTGGGAACCTCACTCCCTCAGCACACTGCGTCAATGTCGGAGCTTCCAGAGACTGCATAAGCATTTCTTCAGAGGATTCCCATGATTACGTCAATGTCCCCACAGCAGAAGAGATTGCTGAGACTCCAGCTTCTACCAAAAGCCCTTCCAGAAATGTCTGTGCTCTTCCCAGTACCCAGAAGCTGGAGGAGTTCAGTGAGGAAAGAGATGAGGGTTGTGGGGATGTTGGTGACTGTACCAGGTTTCATTGTCCGGGAACTGAGGGACATGATTCACTCAGCGATGGAGAAGGTTCTTCTCAGACCTCAAATGACTATGTCAACATGACAGGGTTGGATCTCAGTGGCATCCAGGAGAGGCAGCTCTGGGTGGCTTTTCAGTGCGGCAGAGACTATGAAAATGTTCCAGCAGCAGATCCTAGTAGAAGCCAGCAGCAGGCTGAGAAAGATGTGCCATCCTCAAACACATGTCATGTCGAGGACAAGACAGATGATCCAGGGACTCACGTCCAATGTGTCAAAAGGACAATCCTTGCTTCAGGGGATTATGGAGCTTTTCAGCCATTCACACAGAGTGAGGACAGTGAGATGGAACCTAGAGAAGAAGAGACGTCAAATGAGGACTCCAATGACTATGAGAATGTGCTAACGGCCAAGTTAGAAGGCAGGGACTCTGAGCAGGGGCCTGGCTCTCAGCTCCTTCCTGATGAATTAATATGCAGGTACCCAGCCGTAAAGCCACATGAAGTAGTCTATCCTGTGGGATCTTTAGCCACTGCAGAGTCCACTGCAGACCCGTGAATCACCCTAGTGCTTCAGTGGATTCACTTGGTGAGACTAAGAAGAGGCTGAAATGAGCAGAAACCAAGAGGCCACACAAAAGCAGAGGTTTGGGGATTCCAGAAGGGAATTTTTCTCAAGTAGAGTGTGGTTCTCTTCTGTACCAACCTAAGAATGTATGCTGAAGGCCGGGCGCGGTGGCTTACGCCTGTAATCCCAGCACTTTGGGAGGCCGAGGCGGGTGGATCACAAGGTCAAAAGATCAAGACCATGCTGGTCAACATGGTGAAACCCCGTCTCTACTAAAAATACAAAAAAATTAGCTGGGCATGGTGGCACGTGCCTGTAATTCCAGCTACTCAGGAGACTGAGGCAGGAGAATTGCCTGAACCCAGGAGGCGGAGGTTGCGGTGAGCCGAGATCGCGCCATTGCACTCCAGCCTGGGTAACAAGAGCGAAACTCCGTCTCAAAAAAAAAGAATGTATGCTGAAACTGCTTCCTAGAACTGTGAGGAGAGGAGGGAAGTAGTGCACAATAGTCTAAGATTATTACCTTCATTAACACCAACAGGATGCAAAGCAAGAGTATAGATTATTGTATGATCCAGGCAGAGGTCAAAAGAAAGGAAGACGTTGGGGTGGAATGGGGTGGGCAATTTCCATTTTAAAGAGTGTGCGCAGGCCAGGTGCAGTGGCTCATGCCTATAATCCCAGCACTTTGGGAGGCCAAGGCAGGCGGATCACTTGATGCCAGGAGTTCTAGAACAGCCTGGCCAACATGGAGAAACCCCATCTCTACTAAAAATACAAAAATTAGCCAAGTTTGGTAGTGCGAGCCTATAATCCCAGCTACTCAGGAGGCTGAGGCAGGAGAATCCCTTGAATCCGGGAGGTGGAGGTCGCAGTGAGCCAAGATTATGCCACTGTACTCCAGGCTGGGTGACAGAGCAAGACTTGCTTTAAAAAAAAAAAAAAAAAAAAAAAAATGTAGGCAACCAAATGTGGTTGAGGATGCAGAGGAACAGGAACTATCACTGGTCGCTGATGGGATTGTAAAATGTCAGAGCCACTTTGAAAAACTGTTCAGCAGTGTCTTATAAGCATAACTTACCATATGGCTCAGCCACTCCACTACTAGAAATTTTTTTTTTTTTTTTTAGACGGGGTTTCACCATGTTGGTCAGGCTGGTCTGGAACTCCCAACCTCTGGTGATCCACCCACCTTGGCCTCCAAAGTGCTTGGATTACAGGCTTGAGCCACCATGCCCGCCCACTACTAGAAATTGACCCAAGTGAATTGAAAACTTACATTCACACAAAAACCCTCACATGATTATTTATAGCAGCTTCATTCATAATTACTGAAAACTAGAAATAACCCAGATATCCTTCAACAGGTGACTGGATAAACTGTTGATATACATTCCTTGAGTTTATCCATACTCAACAGTGAAAAATGAACTATCGGTTCACACAATAATACGGACAAATCTTAAATCCATTTTGCTAAGTGAAAGAAGCTAGGTCTAAAAGTCTACATGTTGTGCAATTCTATTTATATGGCATTCTGGAAAAGGCAAAACTATAGGGCAGAAAAACAGATCAGTTGTTACCAGGTTTGGGGAAAGGAGAGAAGTTTGCTACAAAGGGGCTGCGAAGGGAACTTTTAGGCTGATGGAGCTGGAGCTGTTCTTTATAATACTGTGTGTGGTGGATATATGACAATATCCATTTGCAAATACAATAACTATACACGTGGCCGGGTGTCGTGGCTCATGCCTGTAATCCTAGCACTTTGGGAAGCCAGGGCAGGTAGATCACAAGGTCAGAAGATCGAGACCACCCTGGCCAACATGGTGAAACCCCATCTTTACTAAAACTCCAAAAATAAGCTGGGCATGGTAGCATTCGCCTGTAGTACCAACTGCTCAGGAGACTGAGTCAGGAGAATCGCTTGAACTCAGGAGGCAGAGGTTGCAGTGAGCTGAGATCACGCCACTGCACTCCAGCTTGGGCAATAGAGTGAGACTTAGTCCCAAAAATAAATAAATAAATAAGTATACACTAGAAAAAGAGGCTTTTGTTGTATGCAGATTTTTAAAAATGAGCAGACTGTAAAGGGAACCCAGGATGGTACGTAAATTGTGGTTAATGAATCTAGTTGTATTATAAATGCCTGACATCAACTCACTGAAAGGGATGGGGTAAAAAAAGAACTGACAATTACAGTTGGAAAACAGTGTTCTGACTTGTAACTGTAGATAAGGACACAAAGAACTGTATACAAAAATTGCACTCTGCTGGGGCACGGTGGCTCATACCTGTAATCCCAGCACTTTGGGAGGCCAAGGCAGGCGGATCACGAAGTCAGGAGTCCAAGACCAGCCTAACATGGTGAAACCCCATCTCTACTAAAAATACAAAACTTAGCTGGGTGTGGTAGCAGGTTCCTGTAATCCCAGCTTCTCGGAAGGCTGGAGAATCGCTTGAACCCGGGAGGCGGAGGGGTTGCAGTGAGTCGAGATTGTGCCATTGTACTCCAGCCTGGGCGACACAGTAAGACTTTGTCTCAAAAAAAAAAAAAAGCCAGGTGTGGTGGCTCAAGCCTGTAATCCCAGCACTTTGGGAGGCTGAGGCGGGTGGATCATGAGGTCAAGAGATCAAGACCATCCTGGTCAACATGGTGAAACCCCGTCTCTACTAAAAATACAAAAAATTAGCTGGGCATCGTGGCACGTGCCTGTAATCCCAGCTACTCAGGAGGCTGAGGCAGGAGAATTGCCTGAACCCAGGAGGCGGAGGTTGCGGTGAGCCGAGATCGCGCCATTGCACTCCAGCCTGGGTGACAAGAGCGAAACTCTGTCTCAAAAAAAGAAAAAAAGAAAAAAAAAAAGTTGCACTCTGGTTGGTAAATTTGTATCTCACAGAAGTATGGGTTAGCAATTCTGAAACTACTTTAAATGTATATTTGGCTTAAATAAGTCAATCTACTGTAGATAAGGAGAGACAGGTTAGCATAAGAATTCAATTGTAGGACACTCAGCTGGTATCCAGAGAGTTGGAATACTGGTCAGCTGTTGGGGGGAAAATCCCCACACATTTGGTGTCAGAAGTGTTGTGAGTGAAAACAGACCATTACTCCACCAAGTGGCCAGAATTTAAATTCATGCCACACAGAGGACACCATGACAGTCTGGTGCTGATGGCCAAGCAGGGTGAGCCAGGGCAGCAGCAAGCACAGAGAAAGGACAGCCCCACAGTCAAGTAAGGAGAAGTTTGTCTCATAGGTGAGAATAAAGCTTAAATAAACGGAACAAAATCTTAAATATTGGCATGAGAGAATTCTCATAACTAAGAGAGGATGAAAAGTTATGGCATCTAAATTAGAAGTTGTGACAACAGCTGTCACCCAGGATGGGTGGGAGGGACTGTTGGGGGCAGGTCCTGGAATAAACTAAGCCAGCTCTTTTTGTTTTTTTGAGATGGAGTTTCGGTCTTATTGCCCAGGCTGAAGCGCAATGGCATGATCTCAGCTCACTGCAACCTTCATCTCCCAGGTTCAAGTGATCTCCTGCCTCAGCCTCCCAAGCAGCTGAGATTACAGGCACCTGCCACCACACCTGGCTAATTTTGTATTTTTAGTAGAGAAGGGGTTTCACCATGTTGGCCAGGATGGTCTCGATCTCCTGACTTCATGATCCACCTGCCTCGGCCTCCCAAAGTGCTGGGATTACAGGAGTGAGCCACTGCGCCTGGCCCTAAGCCAGCTCTTGTTTAGACACCAACAATCTGGATACCTCAATCAGCCAGTCACACTTACATATTCTCGGCCGGGCGTTGTGGCTCACACCTGTAATCCAAGCACTTTGAAGGCCAAGTCGGGTGGATCACCTGGGGTCAGGAGTTCAAGACCAGCTGACCAACATGGTGAAACCCTGTCTTATATGTAAAAAAAAATTTTTTTTAATTTAAAAAAGAGACTCCATTACATTTATATATTCTCCCAAATCAAGAATGATTAATGCATTGTAGATTGCCTCAAATAGGTAGATTTTCTGTTTATTTCTTGTTCTTTTTTTTTTTTCCTTTCTTTCTTTTTTTTTTTTTTTGAGACGGAGTTTCAGTCTTTTACCCAGGCTGGAGTGCAATGGCGTGATCTCGGCTCACCGCAACCTCCGCCTCCTGGGTTCAGGCGATTCTCCTGCCTCAGCCTCCTGAGTAGCTGGGATTACAGGCACGTGCCACCATGCCCAGCTAATTTTTGTATTTTTTTTTTTTTTTTTTTTAGTAGAGACAGGGTTTCACCATGTTGACCAGGATGGTCTCGATTTCTTGACCTCGTGATCCACCCGCCTCAGCCTCCCAAAGTGCTGGGATTACAGGCTTGAGCCACCGCACCCAGCCTTATTTCTTGTTCTAAGAAATTTTTGCAAATGAGTCAATGAAAATAATTTTTATTGAATGCTGATTTTTTTTCTTTCTGTTTATGGTTTTGTTTTTTCACATTAGTTGCCAGGAAATTTTGACTAATTGTCTTATCTCATACACTCAATAATGCTAAATATGAGGAAGTTTTTCAAGATTAGGACAGGATGAAAAAGTAGATATAAAGCTAACCAAGGCCAGGCACAATGGCTCACACCTGCAATGCCAGCTCTTTGGGAGGCCAAGGCAGGCAGATGGCTTAAGCCCAGGGGTTCAAGACCAGCCTGTGCACCATAGTAAAACCTCATCTCTACAAAAAATACAAAAATTAGCTGGACATGATGGTGCTTGCCTGTAGTCCCAGCTACTTGGGTGGCTGAGGTGGGAGGACTGCTTGAGCCCAAGAGGTCGAGGCTGTAGTGAGCTGTATTCTTGCCACTGCGGCCTGGGAAACAGCAAGACTGCCTCAAACAAACAAAGATAACTCATTCTGAGTCCTCAATTGGTTAAATAAAGTTAATTAATCATTCAAACCTTTGTTATATTGATTGTGTCTTCCACCAGGATGCCGTTTAGTACAAAATACAGAGGTTTGCTAAATTCCCTCCTTCCCTCTAGAAGCCCCTGTCCTCTAACGGTAAGTAGATGAGGTGTTGCTGTCCCTCTGGCATCTGTCCTCCTTCAGCATCCCCTCACTTTTTTTTTTTTTTTTTTAAAGATGGGGTTTCACCATGATGGCCAGGCTGGTCTTGAACTCCTGA